TCACCCGCTGCTGAATCTGACCAGCAGCGGCTGTATCGGGGACGCCTGGGGCAGAGCCGGACTATTGGAAGGAGGTGCTATGAGGGGTCTGTGGTGGCATCCTCTCTACCCCACCCCACCCCAGACCTCTCATAGCCCCCCCTTCTGATAGTCTGGCATATCTGATAATCCGGCACCCCCTGGGTCCTAAAGGTGCGGGATTATCGGAAGTTTACTGTACTTGCCCATAGTCAAGTGTTCCCCTGAGAGGTGACACATCCAGGTTCGATCCCCCTGTCTGTCCAGTCCTGGGTACAAATCTACACTTGGATTTCCTGTCTTTCCAGAAAGAATCCCAGGCACAGATGTTGTGCTTAAAAGAAGCATCCGGGATCTTTTTCAGGGGATAAGATAACACACTGCATTTATTGAACATACACAGACCAATCAATACTTTATCATATACATAGGATACATTACTCTCATGTACTCACACACACACACACTCCATCTTGTCATTACCAGTAGTTGCTCCCCCTAATTAAACTGGACAGGTGAGTTAGATGGGGGAAGGGTGGAGCCGGGCTTCTGCCAATCCAGATCGTTGCTCCGACGTTGACAAGACGAAAACCCGGGGTCCCTCTGCAAGGCATATCGTATTTATCCCCGTCATGCAGCTAGTTAGTCATCACCTCGCCTTTTTTAATGCTGCTTCAAACAGGATCCTTCCAAGGGCAGGCACATGTTGCTTGACTCCCAAGGCATCAATATGTCCAAACTTCATTTCAATAAGCGTACTTCACAAGTATTGTTCTCTTAGGATTTGGCTCCCAGCCCCTCTCCACCCTTGCAACTGCTGCTGGAGGTGCTCACCTCTCAAGGCTTCTCCATTCACACCTCATTTATTTCAAAAGGACAATCAATGAAAGGGCAAAGACCTATTCTATTCCTAGAAAAAGACATTTTCCTATTCCTAAGGCCTATAACATTAAGGGCTTAATACAAAGTTTCTATGGTCTATAAGAAGCGAAGATCTATACAAGATCTATCTATATAAAGCCTTATAAAGTTTCTCTTAATACAAAGATATATGAGAATGATACATGGTTTTATGGAAATGTTGCAGAGATTTAGCCACACGGAGCAATGAGCAATTCCTCTCTGTGTCGCTCTAAATCTCCTTCCAAAGTTGTTCTACTGTGTAACACAAATGACAGACCCATTAGAACAGGGACATGAAGTTGAGCAGCTCCCACTCTAGGTGGGTGCCCCTGGCAACCAGTCAATAGAATCATTCTCTCTCTCTGACTCTGTGATTCTGCCCGGGGCTCTAGCAGGAAACACTGAGGCCAGAGCTGCACCACTGGCGACATCGACACTGCTGCCAGAAATGAAGCTGGGTTTGTTACGTCTGGTAGAGACACATCAGATCAATGGGGCAGCAATTGCCCAGCAACAGCTGTACCCAGCGGTAGCTGAGGAACTTTGATACTGGCAGGTGATCTAAGTGACATTGTCCATAACTCTCCCATTGACACAGCACACTGTGGACAGGGTGCAGGCACCATTGCACATCAAACCAAGCTTGAGACCCACTTTCAAGTTGCTTCAGAGCACCAGACAGAGGGGGATTTACCCATGTTTGCCACTTCATGTGACTGCTCTGATCACTGGGCTAAAGTCTACAAGCAGCAGGAGCAGCACCGCCTCTTCTACTCCCATCCATTTTGCCAGGTCAGCCCGTCCTTGTGTTTGCATTTACATTGATGCAGAAGGAGGCAGGAAAAGACATGTGCCATTTCTGGTCAGGCCAAACCCTTTTTTCCTCCCCAAAGGACATTTTGGTCAATGATTTCAGTTTAGTAAATGTTTAGAAAACTTTCAGAGTTGGATCAGGTTGAGATGTTTTCTAAGCAGCTGTGACCTAAAAAAAATCAGATATGGGCACAGCTTTCTGTATTTGGCACTCCCAATCCCTGAAGTCAAATATTCCCACTCCTCTCCTCTTGCCAGTCTATGGTACATTCCAACAGAGCTCAGAGCAAGAATCCAGAGCAAACTTGTTCTTATCTCTCAGTTTAATTAATGTAGGAAAAGTTACCTTTCTTTGCTATTTTGTATTGTGTTCAATGCAGGCTGTCATAGAGGATGCACACACACTGTGCTCCCTCTTACAAATTATGCTTCTTTTTGTTTTCTAGTTCCCTTAAGATGAAAAAAGAACATTGGGATGGACATGATGCTTTTTTGCATAATGTAAAAAGAACAGCATGAGCAATAATACTACTGGCCTCTTCAAAATGTCCTTGCAATGGCCTAGGTATTGAATTCACCTGTTTCCACTGCCCATCACTCAACTTGGGCTGGGATGAACAGATTCAGGAATTGGTTAGGAGTTTGTTCATTGCTTTCCTCAGGGCGTCCTTCACCTCCCTGTTCCTCAGGCTGTAGATGAGGGGGTTCAACACGGGGATCAGCAGTGTGTAAAACACTGAGGCTACCTTGTCTGTGTCCATGGAATAGCTGGAGGTGGGTCGGAAATACATAAATAGGCCTGTGCCATATAATAATACCACTGTGGTCAAGTGACAAATGCAGGTGGAGAAAGCTTTGTACCGGCCCTCGGCAGAACGGATCCGCAGGATGGTAGAGAAGATATAGACATAGGAGAGGAGAATTGTTACAGCACTGTTCAGAGTAATGAAGCATGTAAAGGCGAACAGCACAATTTCATTGATGTGGGTATCAGAGCACGAGAGAACCAATAGTGGAGGAATATCACAGAAGAAATGATTGACAACATTGGAGCTGCAGAAGGACAGCTGAAATGTCAGACACGTGTGTATCATTGCATCCATCAACCCCACAGCACACACCCCAGCCACGAGCTGGTTACAACGCTGCTTGGACATGATGACCGTATAGAGCAGAGGGTTACAGATGGCCACATAACGGTCATACGCCATCACAGCCAGCAAGACACACTCAATATCCCCAAAACAGATAGAGAAATACATTTGCACTGCACATTCAGTGCGAGAAATGTTCTTCCTTTCAGCTAAGAAATTCTGCAGCATTTTAGGGGCTATTACTGTGGAACAGCAGATATCACAGAAAGACAAATTCCGGAGGAAAAAGTACATGGGGGTGTGGAGTTGGGAGTCACTTGTAATTAACAACGTCATCCCCCCATTTCCCACTAGAGTGACACCATAAATCAGTAGGAACAACACAAACAGGGGGACCTGAAGCTGTGGACGATCTGTCAGTCCTGAGAGAATGAACTCAGCCACCACCGAGTGATTTCCGTCTTCCATCTCCTCTGAGCCGAGATCAGGCAGCTACAGTGAGAGGTGGCAGGTGGATGGCTTAGAGAAATTTTCACTTCTCTGTAATAAATAAAGGGAAGGAAAATGGAGATCAGTTTCTTAATGGACATTAGTTCAGGATCAAGGTAGAGCTTAGTCCATAGGGCCAGAGGTTCGTAGCTGGTCATGTCAGGTGTCCCATGCAATGCACACCCTGTACACATACATGGACATGCATGTAAATCATTCCCCATAGACAAACCCTCCACTTGACTAAGCAAGAAGCAAACCATGACTTGTGTCTTGGTTGTGAGAGAATCAGGCTGAAAGGCATCTTGAACTGAAGAGACAATTGCTTAGCTCAGGACAGAGTGAGGGTAAATGAGTTTAAAGCTCTCTCCCCTCCTTGGGCAAAGGCTATGTCTACACTGTGTTCTTTTTCCAGGAAAAGTTATGTATATTGTAATCCACAATTTCCATACCTTTTTCTGCTTTTTTTTCAGAAGAGGCTTTTCCGACATTTGGACCATCTACAAGGGGCCAGATATGGGAAAACCCTCTTTTTTCAGAAGATTCCCATTCCTCATAAAATGAGGAATACAGGGCTTGCGAAAGAGCGCATCCGCTTTCTCGGAAACTGTTCTGAGAAAGCGGACACCTTCCTTGTACATGGCAGACGTTTATCAGATAACAGTATCCTGGAAAAACTCTGCAGATGGGGAAAAAATGGTTCATAAGCACAGCAAGCAAATTTTAACTCACCGCACTATAGAGATTTCATTGGCTATATCTATACTACAAAGGTATTTCCATTGGTCTGTATGAGAACCCTGATCGATACTAGAAACCACCTGCCTCAGTATCTCTGTAATTGCCCAATGCGTTGTGTCTTTACCTTGTTGGTTAGGATCTGGGTTCAAGCTTTTAGTGCTGGAGACCAGGAATGAAAAACCTTCTGCTCATCATGGGGTCTATCTGAGTGTGACAGTGATTCAGGATAGCAGCACTTATCTGCTGAGAAGAAGGAGATGTGCTGGGGTTTCCCCATTGTCAGAAAGTGCCTGTTTGGAGGGTTCGAGAACTTTTATACAGAGAACAGATCCATGGGACTTGCTCCCTGAAGTAAACGGGAATTACTGAGCTGAACGAGGCACCTAATTAATGAGCTCAGTGAACCATGGTCACCCTTGGTGTGACTTTTGCCTTGGGGATTAATTTTCTGCATTCTTTCCTCCTGTGCTGTAAAATGATGGTATTTTTTTCTACTGCAGACCAAACACTCATTGGCCTTAATGGAGATGACAGGATGTGACCACAGACATCTGTTCTGTATAGTTAACTGGCCATTTCTCTGTAAAGCTGGAAATGACCCTTCTGAAAGAGTCTGTAGTGGCCTCTTCCCATTCCATGTATCCAGAGGCAGCATTTTCCAAAGAATTCAGCTTTTCTTTGAGCCTGTGGACTCGTATGAGAACATGGTTTCATATTCGTTTGGCCTCAATTTGCCCATCTGTGACTGGGATTAATCCTATTTACGTGCCTTTCACTAGGCTTACTAAATGGTTGTAAGCCATTACATGGCCTTTTGGTGGGGTGCCTGTTACACACAGGGGAAGATTGGTGAAGGCAGCCTTATTAAGTGCTTATGAAGAGAAGAGGGCTTATTAAGTGAAACTGTTGGGAGAAGGCTTCGTAGAGTAGCCAGTCAGGGCCAGGATGGCTGATAGAAGAAAAGCTGCTGAGCAGAAGGCTCTCTGGAATGCTGCCTGGATTGGTTACATGGAGAGGAGCTCCTCAGCCAAAGGATGGTGGGTCAGAAGTGGGAAAAGGAGCTACAGCCCGAGTGACTGACAGACTGAAGTCCCGATAGAGGGAGAAAGAAGGGGCTGAGGCTACGGGGAAGTGCCTTAAGGAAACAGAGAGACATTGGAAAAGGGGCAGTCGGTGGCTGATGTCTACAGTGTACCTCAGTCACAGCCCTGAGCAGCAGGCAGATCTGGGTCCCCGCTCATGTTCACCCCACTTGCAAATGAGGAGAGTGACCGGTATCCAGACTGCATAATGCCCCTGAGGTCAGGGACTGAATGTTGGGCTGCAGTTGGCCACTGAGGCAAGGGATGGGTGTTAGAACTGCTCGTGTCCCGGAAGGAAGAAGATAACAGGGTGAGGCTCTGTGCCTATAAAAGTCCGCTGCTGTCTGAGGAATAATGTAGGTCATGGTGCGGCAGGTCTAGAGCAGAAGTGACGGTGGCAGGGGACTGTCTGAGGCGGTTGCCCCGTTGGAGAGTTAAATCCTAGAATGGCCAACAGGAGCCACCACGGAGCTCAGCCTCAGTTCCGTTACAGGCCATCCTCAATGTAGTATCTCTGAGCACCTTTGTTCTATTTATTGGTACAACTTCCATCCCAGAGAAAGTAAACCTGTTGATTGTAGGTCACACAAGGCTACGAAGAAAGGCTCAAATTAGAGAGTGCTAGACCACTGCTCTACCTCACAGAGTATTTTTCCTTCTCATGGCAATAGAGGAACAGTTGCGGAAAACGTATGGTAAGAGGGTGGTAACTTAGGCCCTTATTCTATACTGTACAGTAATTCAACTTGTACAGATTCATCATGTCTGTCTGAGAAATAATCTGAGATTATTTCCTTATAGGTTCCAATACTAATCTTTGACGTATACAAGGGATCTTGGTGGATTCCCTCTTTCACGAGACATGGGCAATTGCATGCACAACCCTCAGATCGTCCTGTGTTTCACTTACACGTAACAAAGTCTTTCTTGATTGTACAGTCTCATTTGTCAGCCTGCTGAAACAGACTCCTCCACTTTCAACCCATGGGCTGCTTTGTAAATTGAGGACGGGAGCCACAAGCAAATAGGACGCAAAAGAATTTTCCCATTGTGACAGCTCAGGCCATTGTTCTCACCCATTTTGGAAGATTCTGATACATTTTGTACAAAGTGTGCTTCTGAGGTATCATTTCATAGCTGCAAATCTGCTGATCAGCATTGTCCCGGTACAATGTATGTAGGAACATTATGTGTACAGTTACAAGTTTCTGCTCTATAATGTCAGTGAGCTGTTCTAAGTTGTAGAAAAATAGGAACTAAGCATTTCCTCGGAGAGAAAAGGCAAATTGATGCTTGAGCCAGGTGTCAACAAAATCCAATGAATGCCAGAGAGGGCAAGGTAAAGGATTATAATTTGAAATGATCTGGCATAATGGTCTGAGGTAAATAGGATGAAATTCAAGAAGAACAAGTTAATAGTACTCCACTTAGGGGAGAGTACAGCACCACACCTAGGCTACATCTAGGTTGCACAGGTGTTTTGAAACAGCTATTCCAGAATAGCTTATTTAGAAATAGCACATCTACACTGCAGGGAAGACTCAAAATTAGTCTGAAGCAAGCTTCCCTAATATAGACGTGCTATCTCAATTTAGAGCCCCTGGAGGAATAACTTAGAATGGCTCTGGTGAGGAGCTATTTTGAAATAGCAGAAGTGGAGTGTCTACCCATGCCTTATTTTGGAATAGCTGTTACCCTTCATAGAATGAGATTTAAAGAAGTTGGAATAAGCCATCCATTATTTCAAAATTATTTCAAAATAACGGAATTGCTGTGTTGACGTTCGCATAGTTATTTCTGAATAACGTTGTGTAGACATTGCAATAGAAGGCACGTCTATAGTACCATAAAGATTGACCCTCCAGAGTTCAAACTTTTAGCATTTGATTTAGCAGGTCTAGAGTAGACCTCCAAATTGATCACTGTACACCGCCCTCACCAGTGACCTATACTCCTCAGTCTGTGAAGAGTAAGGGAAGCCGATGGTCACTTTTTCTCCTTTCAGTCTCCCATAGTTTAGATGCTGTGATGGATCATCTGAATCCAGCTACTCTCTTTAAGCCAACTTTCCTGGACTAGTGTAGACCAGGTCAAAAAATGGGAAATGGCTACCTAGGGATAAGTCCGGTAGTTAGGGATCTATAGGTCATAGGAGCCTAAGTTCTCCAATTTCTCCACATCTTTCCTGAAATGTGCTGCAGAGAACTGAACTACAATATGACAAATGAGGCCTAATCAGCACAGAGTAGAGTGGAAGAATGACTTCTCATGTCTTACTAAGAACCCTGCTATTAAAAACATCCAAGAATTATATATATATATATATATATATATAATTCTTGGATGTTTTTAATAGCAGGGTTCTTAGTAAGACATGAGAAGTCATTCTTCCACTCTACTCTGTGCTGATTAGGCCTCATTTGTCATATTGTAGTTCAGTTCTCTGCAGCACATTTCAGGAAAGATGTGGAGAAATTGGAGAAGGTCCAAAGAAGGGCAACAAGAATTATAAAATGTCTAGAAAACATGACATATGAAGAAAGTTTCAAAGAACTTTGTTTAGTTTGGAACAGAGAAGACTGAGAGAGGATTTGGTGACAGGTTTTCAGTACATAAAACATTACAAGGAAAGAGAAAAATTATTCTTCAAGAGCTGCACTTGGCTTAAATTGCACTTGGCTTAAATTGCAACAAGAGAGGCTTAGGACGGGTATAAAAATTGTCAGGGTGGTTAAGCAGTGGAGTAAACTGCCTATGGATGTTGTTGTATCTCCATTACTGGAGACATTTGAGATCAGGTTAGACATATGTGTCAGGGATGGTGTCTATGGTGTTTTCATTAGTTTAAGGGACTGAACTTAGGGATGATGTTTCAAGGTCCCTCCCCCTTATACAGTTCTGTGATTGGTTCATTCTCATTTCAGCTGAAGGCTAAACTCCTTTCAAACTAACCCATTTGCCCTTGAGTTGGTGGTACCTCTTTGTTTTTCTTTCCTTTATCGACAACGAGTTGATAAAGGCGGAAGCAGAACCAGGTGAGAACCCTGAAATAAACCTCAAGGTGAAAACTTTCCCTATTTTCTCATCATGCCCATGTTAACCCTGGAGCTACTGCCTCAGGGAGCTGAGTTTAAATTTGGCTTTGATGGCTTTGAAATTTGCTCCCTGGAGCATCCTTGCTCCCACAACAACAGCGGAACAGAGGACACGCAATTAATGTTGTTGCCACGTCTTTCCTTGTGGATATGGAGCACACAGAGCCAGAGCATCAGATGGTGTGGAGCGCTGTATTCCCCGTCACATCATTTTAATATAGAAGAAGAAAGAAATCAATAGAGTCCACTTTATATGGTTGCCCACCTTCACCGTGGGCAGGCCAATCATTTCAGCAAAGTTAATCTGGAGTCTGTTGCGGCCTAGCTTAGAATCAGAGTATGTCTAAATTACATGGCTCCATAGACGGTAAACCTCATTTCACTAGGCATAACAGAGTTGTTATGGGCTTCTCTTGTTGACCGTGGAGCATCCACACTGCTCTGCTGTGCCGCCAAACAGCTGATGGGCACAGCACGGTGGCCATTTTGATGTAAATGAAGTGGCAATTATTTAAATTGATGCTTCATTGTCCTATGTCTAGTCAATTCTTCCACATGGCTCCGTCAACGGAGCCATGTAGTCTAGACATACCCAGACTGTCCCACATCAAACCCACTGTGCCACATGCCAGACCCTTGTACATCAGATTTGGCTTCTGTTCCCATCAATGTTCTTCCCCATCTGAGAAATGTGGGGCAAATCCCTTCCATATGAGGAACTCTACTGGGACAATAGATTATATGAAATTAGCTAGCATGTGGCTGTAAAGGACTTTGAAAGCTGTAGATGATTAATGTTGTGTGTACTACTTGACTGTTCACACTTTTAGTTCTCCACAAATTGCATAATCTGTTCTCCACAGTTTCTTTCTCCCCTCACCTGCAAATAACTCACAGCTAAATCTCTGGGCTCTGCCTCTGGCAACATCATGAACAAGAGAATCCCCTGCTGCTTTTCAACCCGACAGCACAGAGCAAGAACCTCTAGCTCACAGTGCCTAGCAATGCTCAGTGGAATGTTTGTCTGGTACTGACTAGCACCTTCCTGGACAACACCAGCTCATGCAACATCTGTCCTTTTATTAATAGAAAATGGCCTGTGCAAACCCTCATCTCAAGTAGAGGTTCCCAAAATGTTTCAATACAAACATACATGGGCATCGATTAAACAATAAAACACATTTCCTGACTATAGAAATATTTTAAGTGATTACAAATAATGAGGCAGAAAATGAAAGAAAAGGTAAAATGCAACTAATACCTAACATAGCAAGTGAAAGGGCTTCAAAACAAAAATTTCCTTCATCACCTACAGCTGCAGTGACACTGGCTGAATGTCATTCAGCCAGAACCCTCTAGTCCAAGGCTTTTTTCACCTTATTCCAGATTATTTTTTATGTGAGCTAAGAGAAAGGGAGGGATAGTAGCTTTCAGATATTTGCCTTTGCTTCTCGTGGTCATTTCTTTTTTGCAAGAATCATTTCCATCCTGGAGTTATTGAGACAAATTCTGAGTGTATGGAAAATCCCAGGTTTTTTTTGTTGAATTGTAGATTTTTCACTCACACCCTTCTTCCTGCACTAGAATGGCCTCTTCAGCAGGCAATGAAACTTGATTGACCCCCAGGCTGAGGGGAACAACTCAGTATCTTATAGAGTAGAATCTTCTATTTCACATATAATGTTGGAATACACATTTTACCAGGACAGTGATGGTCAGCGGATTATGGGTTTTAT